ATTTTTACCGTCGGTTGCTGCTCTTATTTTAGAGAAATATTTTCATTAAAGCGGGTAAAACTTGATCTATTTCAATGTGTAAAATAACATTAAGTATGAGGTAACGTTCAGGTAACTATGTCCGCTCAGTTCGGACACTTCCTCGGTCATTATTAATAAATGCTGACATTACCTTGCCAAACACCATCTGTTTCAATATATTCGAGCTGTAAAGTCGAACTAAGATATGATTTAACCTGCTAAATAACTAGTTTCTGTGTCAGGTTAACGTTAGCCATAGCTGTCAGATAGAACCAACAGGTAACGTTAGCATCAGTTTCTGTCCACCGCTGAGAATAAAATATTCTTATTTGAAATTTGAGATAAACAAATAAATATCTATAAGCAGAGACTCACGCAGCTGGCCAAGGAGCACAAAGCCATACAGGCCCCCATTTTTCCACATGAAACAGCCGAAAGGATGATGTTGTGTCGCTTCTTCCTCAGCCTTCCTTGGACTAATGCGAGAAAACTTCTTCTTCTTTTGTTTTATGGCGGATCGCATGGTAAGGTGCATAGCGCCACCTACTGTACATGAGTGTGTAGTAACAGACTCATATCCCCCTACATTGTTGTTTTTATTTTTTATTACGAAGAAAAATAAACAATGCTTCCCTTACTGAACAAATGTTCTCTACGCTTTCTTCTGTTCCCAATTTTCCTTTTAGACTCCATTCCTAAATGCGAGAATGACCAGGAGTGTTTGCATTTCAAAGAAAAGTTTTAAGAGACTCCAGATCAAAATCCAACAATCCTGCCCTATAGAGCTGTTCCTCTCAAGCGAATTTAATTTAAACACACTCTAATTAAACTCAAATTAATAGCAAAGTAGTAATAATTAATCAAAATTGATTAGTAAATAGTTTAATAAAATAATTTTCTATCTTTAAACTGTTGGAAATTTTTGTTTAATTAAAGCTGTATGCATTTTTGTGTATTTCTTTTTATCAGGACTTGACATCTAAAGCCAGCATTTTTCATTCACATAAGATTGAAGATTCTGTGAACATATCGTTTCAAGTCCTGACACATTTGATCATTGAAATGAGGCCTTAAGCTTTTCTAAAATGTGATTATGCTGTAAACTACACCAGTCCATAGAGGCTCTGGCTTTATGTTAGTTCAATCTGAGAAACTCACACGAAGAGAAAAGACAATTAGAAGAAATTTATTGATACAATTTTATTTTGTCTTTGGCGCACAGACCTTGGCAGGAAACATAGCGCTGAATTTTGATAGATATGCATAAACAGGAGCAAAGTATAGGGCTGTTTCCCCCCCAGGCCTGAAACTAGTGGTGGAGTGGAGATAGAGGAAGTTGGTCAGTCTGTAGACTGCTGGTTAGCGAGACGGTCTGCTGAGCTTTATGGGAGATCCAGTGGACTGCGTGAGCTGATACTAGAGCTTCACTCAGGGACCTGGAAGATGGAAGTCCAGCTGGATAACACAGGTTGAGAGAACCTGTCCGTGATGAGCAAGCATAAAGCGACAGTGGAGAGAAAAAACTCCCCGTTGGAAAGAAACCTCTGGCAGAACCGACTCAACATGGCGGTCTTCTGCCGGACCGGTTAAGATGAGACAGGGAACGCAGTAAGAGTCCGGGAGGAATGACACTCTGATAAAGCTTTAGCTACGATGGTGGAGGAGGGGCTGGAGGTGGGTTGAAACAAAGTCATCTGAATGAAGTCACACAGCGCATCCGCCGCCTGCGCACAGGTGCAGAAAAGTGCGGATCGGAGGCCTTTTAAGATGAACTTTTGATGCCAATTGGCTTTCTTGGAGGTGTGGTTCAAAGCTGATTGGCTGTGTCGCAGGTGGATGTAGGAGAGCAATCAGTTTCTTCAGTTGAACTTCCTCCTAGGCTCCATTTTTCATTGTCCTGCTGGAAAGTAAACTAACATCTCAGACTGAAAAGGGCTGAGTAAATTGTGGCCTGTAACGGGTGTCTTGTTTTCTTACTTTTGTATGTGTTTTGTTTCATCCATCTTCCCATAAAGTCTGAGAAGCTTCCTTGCAAAATAAAGACACCCTCTTTCAGGCACCTCATAAGCCCTGATTTTTTTTAAAACAGCCTCTGATCTCACAGAAGAAGAAATGTAAAGCTTTAGGATACATCTATGATAAAAAGGTGCATTATGCTCAAAAGTTACACCAGATTTAGTAAAAAACAAGAAAGAAAAACATCTTTGCTGGTGGCTGGGCCGACCAATGTTGCTGCACACCTGAGAACATTTCTCATTCAAGGTGACTAGCTTGTATATAAGGGGGGAAGGATCATCTCTCTTCACTGGATGATTATCCCTGGTGGTATTCCAGCTAAAGAGACATGAAAATAAGAAAGTTGAAATTTGTGTTCTTGCGAATCTCTTTAGTGTGGACTCTGTTATGGTTCCAGATAATCAGTGAACCTCGGTTTGTCTCTGATGAAAAGGTCTTATCCGTGTGCAGAAGCTCTCAGCCTTTATCAACTCCCTGCCCGCTCTCCTGCATGACGTCTCTTGCATGTACCAACACTCTCCAAACTCACTCACATTTTCTTCTGAGGTACAGCCTGCAAAGCATGCTGAATCAAACCCATACACATCCATGCTACTTCCCCTTCATCTAAACCAATCAGTCATCAACCAACTCCTTCCTGATCAGTCTACTCTCTCCCCTCATACCAACCAGAAAGTTTATCTGACTCTCCCTGCAATTCTCCAAGCCTCCAGATTCTTGTTGCTTTGGTAAATAAAATTTACTGGTTCTCTGTGTGATTCTGCATGCGGGTCATAAAACTACAAACCAACATGACAGCAGCTCCTCCAGAGCTATCACTCCTGCTTCAGTTTAGCTTGACAAACATGACTCAGTAGGTCAAACTGTTTATGCACTTTACAATTTGAGATGATAGATTAAATCTTACTTTGTAAAAATGTACTTAGCTCAGACTATTGTTTTTTTATTTTTTATAGCATAACTTGTTTTAAACTTGTCCAGCAAAAGACAGATGTTTTTCTAGCTGTTATATGAACACTGGTGTTCTCCACCAAATCTTTGTTTAAACTATAGTTTTATCTAAATTGATGTTCATCTTATCATGCTTATCTAAAATTAAGGGTCGTCTTTGTGTTTATAATCCTTATATTTCACCTACTGTAAACTTCTACTGAAATAAACATGGCAATAATATTATATTGAGGATAACTATAGAATCTCAATAAAGAATATCTAAATTAAGCAAATTGTGAAAAAAAATCTGGAATTGCATATGTAGTCTAAATTTAAAGATTCTGTGCGTGTGTCAGCCTTTGCCAAAGTAAAACTGAGAAGAGCCCTTTCATTGTCCTTATGTCCACAGACAGATGGGCAACACAAGTCTGAAACTTGCCATCTGTCCTTTCTTCTAAACTTCCCAGGAGCTCTGAGTCTGTTGTTCAAAGCTGCTAACAAAGGAACGCCTGTCAGGTACTGGCAGAATCCCTAAAATCTAGTTGATTTTCTAACATTTCCTAACCACAGAGATTTGACTCTTACTCTCTTATTAATTTTTTGGGGCCTCTTTGAGCAGTTGGAGTTGCAGGGGTACTGAAGCCTGTCACAGCTGTGAACAGAGCACAGCAGGGGACAACCTAGATAGGTCATCAGTACATCAAAGGGAAATTCAAGGAAACACAAAGTAAATGTAAACTCTACAGAAAGTTATAATAAGCCTGAGGTGATTTGTTCACTTATATGCCTTTCAAGGTGATTTTAAACTGCCATTACAAAATATAATGTAAAAATAGTGCCCTGCACAACCACTTCATAGTTCTTGGGCTATTCCATACTTGACTGCAAGTCCTCTGTAATCACCTTTCTTTTGACAGTAGCAGATAACTCAGCTGTCAGCAGCTAATGCTGGCTTCTCTGTTTGTGGAAACAGTCCAGTTTCCCTCTCACATCGTCACACTTTGATTAACCATTTTGTTTCAGGGATAAACCCCCTTTTTTTCTTTTTACTGTAGCTAAACATATATTAAGCAAAAAACATATTTTTGATAATTGTTTTTTTTTGCTGGGATTTGGTGAGGTAGAATTGTGGCTGGTGATATTCTAATACTTTCTCCCATGAAATGGTTATGGTAAAAAAAAAAAATTAAATAAAATTTAGATTAAAAAATATATGTTGAAGAAAATGGACTCCATTGAAATAATGTGCATTTGGAGTAAGAAGAGAAATTGTCCGGGAAGCCAGTATATCTAAATGAAGTGTATCATCCCACTTAAAGCATTAAAACATCCCTACAGAATTACTCCAGGCAGCTACATGTTTTTACAAAATGGGACATGATTTATTTGCATCACTGCATACTGTCAACAGTGTGATTTAGAGAAACAAAATCCACAATTCAAATACATTTAGACAAACATTTAGACGAACCTGGATACAAACTCACATACATAGTAAAAAACAAAGAACAAATGCTGTATATCATCAGGATGTAGATTTAAACAAAGAGACACAGGGCAAACAACTTTTTTACTCAGTTACAGATAAGATATTTTAGATATACCAATTAATCCTAGATGCATGCTTTAAACCATGAGTGGGTGCTAAAATACCTGTAGAAAAGCACACCTTAATGGTAAAAACAGGCAGACTCCATGAGACTCCATGAAAAGTTACATTACTTTACATAACATTGTTATGTTACATAATAATATAACAATTTATGTGTTTTTTTTTTTACACATAAATTACCTCTTATGTAAAATCTAGAAGCTACATCAAAGCAGCAATTTCATTTGGACCACTGTATGGAAATATATAAAATAAAGACGTACTTAACTTCATAAAGATTTGTTAATTTAATATGTTATCCTCCAACAGAGGAAAACATGGATAAACCGTTTTATGCAGCACTACTTCCTACTGGCGCGCTCCGATTTGTAAAAGCCTCGGTGATTGGCTGGTTTCGACCGATGAGATCACGTCTACCACAGTGACGTTGTAGATGCTTTGTGCGCGAAGGTGCAGAAGTTGGCGGTTTGAATAGAGACAGCACAAGAGGTGAAAAAGAAGGTTCGTTGTTTTTCAAGTCGAGCTGCACTTGACGGTGAGAACAGTTTCTCTCATTTCAGTATCTACTTCAGTCAATGAGCGCCCAAAGACGCTTTGGCAGCGTTAATACTAGTTGTTCACCGTTTATTCTGGCTTTTATTAAGCGTTTATAAACTAACTTTATAAATGTAAGGAAATTGAAATGGTAATGGCTTCCATTCAAAAAAAAGTTTTCCAGGACATGAAGAAAAACTACACTGTAAAAAGCTTGAGCATCTTTTTCATGTTATGGTGGTATCTAACCGTGTAAAGTCAATTAGCTAATTTACACAAACATTGACTCAGGCACGTGCTGTTTTTTGTTCCAGTTAATGTTCTGCGTTTCTCATGTTTTTCTTTGTGTAATTACATTTCGTAGACTCGGCGCCTTCATTATTTGTTGCCTTGCAATTGTATGCAGGTGTAGTATCATACATTTGTGTATTCCAGGTATTACAAATACTGTGTCAAGTCCCCCCCCCCTCCTTCTATACACACAACAAAATCTGCAGCCAGTTCTGCTGCACCTCCCCGCCATTTTTCTACGAAAAAAACTGTGCAGCTTCTAGCTGCTGCTGCTCAGCTTTTAACCCCCTTTCTCTCACGTGAAGCAACTTTGTGCTGTGCACAAATAACAACAGATTGAGGCGTTAAACGATGGAAAGCCAGTTGTGACTGCTGATACTACCATGTCCTGACTGTGAATTGTACATGTTTAGTCATTTTTATTACGTCTCTTTATGTTAATTTGGACTTCACCTCAGTAGCTCTATAAAACTCATAGATTCCCATTTCCCTTACTCAGCTTTGGGTTTTGATACGAAAATGTATTTTTTTTTTCTTTATTAGGGACACCTAAATATTTAAATATTGCATAAAGTTTTTTTCTAATTAAAGCCCAGAGGTATTTCTTTTTTACTTTAAGAAGTAAATACCCAAACATTTTTAGAAGGGAAATATCCGTTCTTGTTCAACAGTGAGGAAATGTATGCATTGCAGTTGCAACGTGAACAGGTACATGGAAGCCTATGAGGGAAAAAAAATGGAAATAACTCATTTTAAAAAGTTAAAATAACTACAGTGAAGGAAAAAAACACATTTCAGAAATCTGTGAAGTTAATACAATATATACTCTGAATAAATGGAAAAGCATTCCATTATAAAAGAGAAATTACACAAAAATCATAATAAATTTTACGTTGTTGCAAGTAGCTGCAAACATTTTCCCATAAAAGTGATAAACATGATTAATACCGTTTCTGATAATTAGCCTCTGAGAGAGAAAGGTAAGTATATAAGTTATACACATCTTTATAATCTTATATCAGAGTAGTGCATCAGGACTTAACATCAGTTATCACAGTTTATCTTGAAAAAAATAAAATAGAACACTATCCATTAATACTTCAATTATAAACAGAGTGTTTTTAATGAGTTGTTAAAGATATGATTTTTACTAATAAATATGAGTTTTTGTTGAAATTTAAGTAGTAAAAATTAACCGAAAAATCACTTTTGTTAGAAGACCAAGTTCATCACCATTAGAAGCCTGCCTGGTCCGAATATATTTATTAAAACAACACCATTTAGCTATAATATTAGGAAGAAAAAAAAGTATATATAGCCACCAGCACCAAAAATAAATAACATAAATGACTCTTCTTACTACTCAGATAAGTAACCAAGGCAGGGTATCAGACTTTTTATGTATTTTATTTATTTTCCCCATGTAAATGTTTACTGATAGGGTTGCACTCTAGCTCCCTCTACTGGCCTACTTTCATTGGTCTAAAGTTAGAAAGGTGTGCATACTTTACTCTCCTTAACATAAAGCCTTGTTTTAAGTAAAATGCAGAGTTTTTTAGTGCTTACATTCAAGTGGATAAGAGAGTACTAATTTCTGTTGCTTTGTCTTCCTTTTCCACAGGCGATTAAAAGACAATCTTTCTGCAGAAATGGATACCACCGATGGTAAGTCTAAAAGTTGCATCTTGACCAGCATTTACAGATCACAACATAAAAAAATAAAATAAAAAAAACTATTTCTGAAAAATTGTTCTTGAGGTTTTGATGCCAAATCTGAATTTAGGAATGAAGGCCTTTTCTCATTTCATATAGTTTGGCTGCACAAAGTTTTGATAATCTGTCAGTTGGTAAACAAATAAAGTAAAACTTTATTTGAAATGTAAATGGGTTCACGTTGTATTATAATTCTTAAATAACAAATGTGCTATAATTAGATCACCACTGAATTAAAAAACAGTAAATGGGATTCCTGTTTTACAGACATTCTAGTAAAGGAGCTGAGCAAGCGTGCGTCAGGCCAGGCATTTGAGGTCCTCCTCAGCCCCTCCACTCCTGATGCCAAGGTGGAGTTCCCATTGTCTCCCAACAAGAAAAGGGAAACTTCTCTTGATGAAATTAAGAAGAAACTGGAAGCTGCAGACTTGAGACGCAGGGTATCTGAAATAAATACAACATAAATGGCTAATAGTAAAGAAAATATTTTAGCCATCATAATTTCTTATCTAAACACAAAGGGCTTCTTCTCTCTTCCCATTAGAGCCACGAGGCCGAAGTTCTCAAACATTTGGCTGAGAAACGAGAGCATGAGAAGGAGGTGATCCAGAAGGCCATCGAAGAAAGCTGCAACTTCAGCAAGCAGACACAGGAAAAACTCAACCAGAAAATTGAGGCGAACAAAGAGAACCGCTCTGCTCGCATGGCAGCTCTCAACGAGAAATTCAAGGAGAAGGTAAGCTCCTCAATCTCTGTCCAGATATTTTCTTGTATATTTCCCCAAAAAAGAAAAATGTAACGTTAATGTTGTTTTGAAATGTTCACTAGGATAAGAAGCTTCAGGAGGTGAGGAAGAACAAGGAGGCAATAAAAGAAACTGAGAACTAACCTGTTTGTGCTCTTGGTAACGGTTCTAATGTGTCCAAAGATGTAAGCTATCTATCAGAAAACCTTCTAAAATCATAGTAAGGCTAGGTGTCATGATGCTGTAGACTGTTCTGGTTAGTGTTATATTTGCTCTGTTGTTTCTTTTCCTCCGGAGTTCTGTTTGGCAGCTGAGTTTTTTTTTAATAAAGGTTTTTAATAAATTGGTTGTCATATTTACCAATACAAAAAGAAAAAAGAAAACGTTTCAGATTTTTCCAGATTGTTGACAATGCTGTATATCTTAACTGACTGTTTAATACAATGATTAAACTTAGATTCATTTCCAAAAGTTTGGACTCTTCTGTTTGTGTTATTCCCCCCCCCCATTCAATTTCAGCACGTTGAAATGTCTCCATTAGGGGAGGGCTGTTGGAAATCAATTGAAAACAGGGCTAACATTCCAGACCTACTAGGATCGATCAAATTTTAACCTTTAATTTCATCATGATGTTAATATAAGAAATGTCCTATCAGCTCACTGTAACACTTGCACATACGTAATAGGGTACATGACAAACTGATATAATGCTTTTTAAGTGATAGTGTAGAAGTAAACAAAGTGCCCCATCATGGGCATGCTGCACAAATGCAAAGTTCAGTTCTCCTGAAATTATGTTTCCCTGACATCAGAGGTAGGTCCTACAGTCTCAGCAAGGTTTCTGATCAAGCTGTCAGCAAAACAACAATCTGCTATCTATCTCTCAATTTAGGTTCTCTAAAAGTACAAAGAGGTTCTTGCTCTTGACAGTTTTGGGTTTATTTTCTATTACTGATTTCAAGGCTAGCAGCTCATTCTGCCTGACAAGAAACTTTCTGAATGAACTGGAGCTGTCTGTTATCTTTGTAATGTCAAGATAACATTGGATATTCACATGAATCATAATGTTTGATGAGATAAAAAATATATATATACTTAATCACAAATTCGACTTAATGGCTGCCAGAGGAGGTTGTTTCAAGATACAAAAAACATGAATGGTCACACAACCATATATAGAGGCTTTGGTCCTGGAGGTGGTTGTCATAGGTTCCAGTCCTGGCCTAATGATCTTTGCTACACCCCCCCCCCCCCCCCCCCCCCCCCCCCCCCCCCCCCCCCCCCCCCCACACACACAAGCACATTTGATGTCTAATTTAAAAAATAACTGCAAATTGTGCCTTAAAATGATAATAATCCAGTAATGTGCAAAATAAGAAATTTCTAACATCAAGGCAGCTAACAGTGAACTCAGTAACATATTTCAATATCTGCAGCATCAGGTGCTGGATGAATGTGTGTGTTTTAATTACATTTTTGCAAATTACCTCTATTAAAAGACAATACCTTTATTCAACCTAATAGGTTTGATATTTATAAACTGGTTTTCAAATTACCCTGTGATACATTTATAGTAAATTTGATTAAAAGAAAAAAGAATAAAAAGGAACAGACTATTTAATCCAGAAGAACTTTAGATTGAGCCCTCTCTTTTGACAGAATCAGAAGGGTTCATTATCGAAAGGATGCCCAATGCTACTTAGTCTTCAGGAATGCTCAAAACTGTACTTTGTCAATACTGACACCGTGTGGCCATCATATATTAATCTTTTTTTTTTCTCTTTTTAAATGAGCAAAAGCTTCTAAATAATAAATGGTTTGCTCATGGATAATTTCAGCATGTGTTAACCCTAAAGACTTTCCAGGTCTTTGCTCTGTGGGGAATTTGTAATAATGGATAACACAACAGAGTTTATGGATATTTTTTTTTCAGTCTTTAATTTGTTAATAGATTCTCCAAAAACATTACTCTGCTAATCCCACTGATGTTTTTACAGCAATAATTCTAATGTTTTACATTTGCTACAATCTACGAGATAGAATTGAAAAACATTTAATCCAAATTGACAGACCTATGAGAATATTTACATAACGTTGTTTTAAAAGCAGAGTTATAACATCTCTGTTAAAATATTCAAGTGGGTTGGTTAATTTGGCAGCCATGAGTTTTGAATTATTTCTTAGATTCACCTAGAAAACTTAATGGACATTTTGACCTGATGCCTAAAATTAAACCAAAATCACTGAACAATATTAGTTTATAACTGTTTGTAACTAGGTCATCATTGGGAAAAACAACACATAGGCAGAACCTGATTAGCTTGATCTGCCATGTTTGAGGTTTTATGTGTTTATATCTGTTAAATTCTAGCTCAGGCTTGCAGTCAGAGACACACCTGTACCCTGAGTTGAAACAGTCCCATGAGATTACAGCTGTTGTCTGTGTGGCCTTAAAGGAATAGTACACCCAAAACATGATTAGCCTTCATTTTCTACTCACCTCCATGCTGAACAACACTCTGGAGTACTTTTTTGATATCTCAAATGCATCTGGAGATCTGGGAGACTTCTTGCTGTCTGCTGACATTCAAATAATGGAGGTCTATGGCGCCCGAGACAGAAAGGTCCACAAAAGTCCACAAAAACTTGTCAATATTCCTCCATACTGCTCGTCCAATGTAATCCAAGTGTCCTGAGTGGGTAGCATCCAGAATTTACTCGAAACGAAGTCATTTAGAACGTTTTAGAGCCTAAACAGTAGTGTATAGGATTTCCTAATAGCGCCCCCATGCGCGCTCACGATTCTACGGAAGCCGGCAGACCAAACCAGCGCATTCAGCTCGGCAAAGAACTCATGCTCTTCCTCAACACTGAAGTCCTCAGACATTTTTCTTTCGTTGTTTCTTTCTTTGCACAGGTAAACAGCACATTTCTTCTTCTACGCTTGCATTATCGGCAGACCAGACGCTGAATGCGCACTTCCTTCCGGTTTGGTCTGCCGGCTTCCGTAGAATCGTGAGCGCGCATGGGGGCGCTATTAGGAAATCCTATACACTACTGTTTATGCTCTAAAAACATTCTAAATGACTTCGTTTCGAGTAAATTCTGGATGCTACCCACTCAGGACACTTGGATTACATTGGACGAGCAGTATGGAGGAATATTGACACGTTTTTGTGGACTTTTATGGACCTTTCTGTCTCGGGCGCCATGGACCTCCATTATTTGAATGTCAGCAGACAGCAAGAAGCCTCCCAGATCTCCAGATGCATTTGAGATATCAAAAAAGTACTCCAGAGTGTTGTTCAGCATGGAGGTGAGTAGAAAATGAAGGCTAATCATGTTTTGGGTGTACTATTCCTTTAATTAATTTTATAAACGCTTTTTATGTTTTTCTTATTTTACCTATTTGAGAATTTTATTTTCCCCCTATTGTCGGAGTTTTGATTTATAAAACGTTCATTACTGTGTATGACCTTAGCTGTTTGTTGCTATCACTGATAAAATGTGTAAAAGGCTTTAAAAATGTATCACATTTGCATACCCTCACACTAAACAAATGTAGCACTCAAATTTTTAATTCAGGCACATTTAGTAATCTATTTATCGTTTCCCACATACCTGGGGTCTGGCGACAGAGGCAACAGCTCCATGAGGAAACCCCAGACTCTCCCAAGCAGCACCCTTCAGCTTCTTATAGAACAGGGATATGTGGGGATCTCTCCAGAGTTAAGCTAAACAAGTCATTTAGAGACACAAATATAAAGTTACATTTTGATAAAAAAAAACAAAAACAACATATTGTTAAATATCTGCTGTAGGAAATATGTTGGAATTTTAAACAGCCAAAAATTTATTTGTATTTGAGGCTTTAAAACCAAGGGAAACATAAGTCATTTTATTTAAAGGAAGCTTGGATTTTCTTCTACCTGGAGAGAGCCCACTCAGGGAGAACATGCAACCTCCACATGTGTAATTACAAAGTTTGCAAAGTGGGTTGGTATTGCTGTAATGCTTAACAAACCTTAACGCCATGCTCCTCTGTCACGTAAGAAATTGTTGGACTCATCAAGCCAGAATGTCTCATGGTCCAATTATTTCTATGCTTACAATCCATGTCAGTCCATGTGTTTAGAGAATATACACTATGTAGAAATATTTTTAAATTTCACAAACAATATGGTATTGTCAGTCAGGGGGGGTAAAAACAAAGGAAGCGTTATAGCTCAACGCAAAACAAGGAAGAGCACAGGCAAGTGATTTCAGCACGCCGACCAACCATTGCTTGTTTTAGTGACTAAAGAATGTTTTTACTGGGATCTGAAAATGCCCAACAAAGTTGCAAAAGCTTGCTAAAGTAGCACTACACTTGGAAAAACAGCCTTTTCCTACACCAGGGACGTATTCACATTTTGTCATATAGCCATAAACCTTAATGTACTTTACTAAGAATATATCTATTAAAATCACACAAAATAGCTAATTTTTGTTAACTAGTTGAAAGCCATACACTGTTTTTAACAAAGAAAATTCGAGAACATGTGAACTGTGGGCAGAGACAGACAGACAGATAATAAATATATGATAGATAGATAGATGATAGATAGATAGATAGATGATAGATAAATATAGATAGATGATAAATAGATAGGTGATTGATAGATGGATGATAGATAGATGGATAGATAGATAAAAAATGATGATGAAAGCAATAAGGACAATACTTGCTGAAAGATACTGAATGAAAGTGACCATTTAAACCTTGTTGTTGTGGGTGTTGGTTTCCAAGCAACAGTACAGGAGACCAATCACCATGGCTGCAGGTGAGATGTCCACACGTGGAAAAAGGAACAAAGACATGTGTAAAGTTCAGGGTTATATAAAAGTTTGTAAGGTGATGCCAGTAAACAAAACTCAGAATTTACATATATTTGTGAAAGTGGCATTACGAAACACGATCCTATATATTTATCTTACTGTAAAACCTGTGTAATAAAGTTTAAAATATTGAGGACTAAATAATAAGCAGTAAACAGTATCACTGATTAGGATCAATACAGTAATATCAGCACCCAGGCGCATTGAGACAGAATAGCTGTGGGTGTATGAGTGAAAGACAGTGGAAGTCTTATAGAGCAGAAGTGAACCGTGATTGGTTGACATAGAAGCAGAGGGGAACAACGTTCACGGTGATTGGTTGGAAAGGCTTTCCGTCAGAGCTGGTTTCCTCCAGCAGACGAGCTGCGGCCGCCGCTGCCTCAGTGACGGTTATCTTCTGCCAGTCCGGCCCATCAAATAATGATATCCATGCTCTGCACGGCTCTACTTATTTCATCGACGGACACACCTGACTCTTCCTACTGATTCTCTCCCGGAAAGGTAGTTTTTCCTTCTTTCTTCTGTGCGACCTGATGGTTTGTAGCATCAATGGTATCTCGC